ACAGGGTAGATAGGGACGGGCAACTTAGACATTAGCTACCTAAAATGAGGGGGCGATAAAGGTACGGAGTGACTGGCTTACAAGGTTTCAAGAGGGAGTTTAGTTTAAGAGTATGTGTGTGGTGGGGGAGTGGGGGGCGGGGTGTAGAAAGAGTCCCCATTGAATAGTTTTCATCTTGTCTAGATGGGTCTGGTGAAAAGAGATGGGGATAAGATTCGTATGATTCAATAGTGAATAACTGTTATCATGACTAATTGCAACTGTCACAATTGTAAAGGTAAATGTTTTATAACAAAAATAGGGAAGTGGTTAATCTTACAGTCCAGAAACAGAGGACCCTAGGACCATCAAGGGAGAAGAGCACAGCAGAATGCAGGACCTTATCCAGAGAAGCAGCGACACTAGAGACAGAGGCAGAGATGGGGACATGGAGAGAGGGAGCAGCTGAGGATTCTAGATTCATGGGAAGAGAGGGACTAAGAACCGGTGGCCAGGAGGCAGACTTGCAGAATGTGCCCTTTGGAGGTATAAATTATTATATATGCCTGAGTGGGGTTTTTTTTGTTAGTTTTTAAAAAAAGCTAAAGTGAATAGAGAGAAATACTGTTATCTGATGGTACATGGAGGGAATTATAATTATTGTAATGAAACAAGGTATATGATTTATTTAATGTAAAACTGATGGTCTGCCCTGTAAACTTTCACTCATCCACAATAATAACCTTAAAAAAAAAAAAAAATGGAAATCAACCTTTGGTCTTTTGTTAAAAAAAAAAAAAAGATCAACTTGGACTTTGGCACCTATACTGAAAGTTTTACATTATAATCATATATTAGAGTTTAAATTAGAATATTGCTTGATTTTCTATTTTTATTATTGTTTCAATTATTTATATATGTATATTATGCCAAGATTGATTTCTTTTTAGGTCCTGTCTTTTGGTACCGGCACTGCTGATTGGAAAACATAAAGCATCTTCTCTCTTTCAATTATAAGGGGGCGTCAAAGATTAAAGAGTACAATAATGATTAAAAAAAAAAAAAGTCAATAGGTTTCTAGTATGGTAGCCACTGCCAGTTAGAAAATATAATGGAAAAGAAGATTCACTTTCTTATTAACCAGTGATAGTATGTAATATATAAAGTATGAAGTAGCTAAGATTGTCTATATGGAAAAAAAACCACACAACACCTCACTATGAAGCATTTTTAAAGGCTGAATAAATGTATGTCAAGAGCATCACAATGCTAAATAAAGATAAACTTCCACTTACAGTAAAGATCAGATCAACCCTTCCACTGAAGACAACTAGAAGAGCTGAGTGGGATTAAAAACATGAAAACCCACTTCTGATTAAAGGTACTACAAAGTTAATAAGATTGTGATGTGCTACCTGGGCAAGATTTTGGAAAAGGTGGAAATGTAGGAAGGTGAACATGACATTTGGGGCCACTTTTGCCCCAAGGGTGTGTTTGATGATCTGAAAGTGGCACAGATATGTTGAGCTCTGCTTTTGACAGCTCTAAGAGGTTCGGGTTGCAAAAACAGAATGCCAGGACCTTCCAAGGGAAGGGCTACGGTAAAACTTTCCACGGACTGCAACTGGACTTTGGGTTATCTGGATGGCCTAGAAACTCTTACATCCTGAAATCAGTCAGTGCCTCCAGGTAGCTGGCAAAAAACAACAAAAAATGTCTAATTCTTTCTGGAAGAAAAATATCAGCATAGGACTCAGGTTATTTCTATAAGCACTGTATAAATATGCATAGCCAGAGGTAACCAGGCACACCAGACTTGGTCATGAAGGATGCATGTTCAATCTCTAAGGCAGCAGGGTTCTCAAGATGTGGTCCCTGGAGCAGGGGCATCAACACTTCCTGGTAATTTGTCATTGTTGTTAAGTGCCATGGAGTCTGTTCTGATTTGTAACAACGCCGTATGTGGTTTTCTGAGGCTGTAAATCTTTTCAGGAGCAGAAAGTTTCATCTTTGTCCTGAACCACCAGATTTATGGTTTCCAGTCTAGTGCTTATCCTACAGAGCCACTGTACAAATTCTCAGACCCCACCCCAGACCCTCTTAATCAGAAATTTGGGGAATTGTGACACAGAGGCACACTGCAATCTCTGGGCTAACAGCAAGTTTAGATAATTCTGACGCATACTGAAGTTTTAAGTCTCCAAGCATAAGCAGGAAGACCTTTTGTCAGAGAGATGTTGCATGAGGTTTCTTGCTCTGGAGGGAACTATAGAGTAGGATACAAAGGGAGAGAAAATAGTTTACATCTGGTTATGGGGGCAGCAGGAGAAAGATGAGACTTTCTGTTCCCCTAAAGATTTACAGCCTCAGAAACGTATGACACTTAAGAACAGTGGAGCGGATATTACAGACTCAGGATTCAATTTAAAAATAATTTCCAGTCATTAGATAATAATTTGGTATCAATCTGTGTTTTAATTTCCTTTCAGATACTCATTTATTTGGGGAGGGGGTTAGGGGCCTTTAACTTACACAAATACAGATTTGAAAATACAGAAGTAAGCCTAGGCCCTTACCTAGTAGTAATTAAAGGCTAAAAGATTCTGGTTCTATGTCATTATCCTTTAGATTTGGCCAGGTTGAGTTCAGCTCCTCTTACATTCTGTAATAACAGCCACAGCATTAGGCCAGCACAGTCAGCTACTCAGATCTTTACCTCTGTTAGTTCAGCCATTCATTGTTTATTAGTTCATCAGTTCTGTTAGCTCATAGATAACCTCACTATGCATCTCAAGGGTGGGTTTTAGAGGCATAGGTAGGAAAGATATTTTCAATATTCAGACAATGGTATGACACAGGCACTAACTAGGCTTGCTGTAAACCCTGTCTTTCCTGGGGAAAGACCAGTGAACGAGGCAAAGATGCCATGGCGTAAGGGCACTTGGGGGAGCAGATCCATTGCGACTTGCCAATTAGTAAGGGATCATTTCAACATCTCAAAATCTGGCGTAGCCATACTAAACATACTTTAGTTGGCACTGACATTGCTCTCCCATCAGGCCTCTCTCCCCACCCTAGCACCTATATGCTTGACAACATCCAACCTTTTCTGAGTAGGTTTCCTGTATCACGGTCTCAGATTCGTCCATGCTTAACTCGGAGGAGTCTGGGATCCTCCTTGATAAGGCAAACAGCACGGCATCGTGGAGGCTGAGGAACAGCTGGGACTTGGTGATCCCATCATCAAAGAAGTCATTCCTTTCAAATGCTCTGACCACAGAAGCTACAAAACCAAACCCAGAACACACAAAGTCAGACTTCCAGGAAGCGGAGCACCGGGTGCAAAACACAATCCCTCTCAAAGGGTGAAGGATACTCACAGTGACACCCTGCAATGAGCACCAAAATGTTGGCTTTTTGGAAAGCATTGCACATCTGTGTGAAGAGAGTACATGAGTGTCAGGGTGCTTCACAATCAACCAGAAAAGGCCCTTCTAATGATCTACGCTTTCAAACTCCTTTGGGCATTCACTTGTTTAGAGTGTATGGAGCTTTGCATTCCTATTCAGCTCCAAAACATATGATGAATGGACTTGTCTATATCAGGAAACAACTGAAATGCCAGGACTACAAAAGAAGATCTGACGATCTCATTTGTGAGTGTAAAGGGAGAGTTTTCAAGGGGGAAACTACACAAAACAATGTTCATGTGAGGAAGGTACCAGGGCAAAGATAGCACAGGTGGAAGGGGATACACTAGAGAGTCCTCATGGTTTTAAAGCTTAGTATTTGCATGTGGTAGCATAGTGGTTATAAATTGGGCTGCTAACCTCAAGGTCAGCAGTTCGAAAATACCAGCCGTTCCGTGGGAGAAAGATGAGGCTTTCTGTTCCCGTAAAGATTTACAGCCTCAGAAACCCTGTACAGGGTCGCTATGAGTCAGAACCTATTCCATGGCACACCATCACTACAACTATCTGCATGTGACCCCTTCTCCCTGGAATTCAATATGCAGAGTGGACAAAGGTAACTCAGAGATGGTCAGTTGATAAAATAAGGAATGAAATTCGGAAACCTTGCAGGTTATATTCAGAACTATTCTGCAAAATTGCTTTTGACATTAGTAAAAAATCAGATACTCACCCAAACTCATTTCCATTGAGTGGACTCTGACTCATGGTAACCCCATGTGAGTCAGAGCAGAGCTGTGCTTCTTAGAGTTTTCAGTGGGAGTCCTGGTGTGGCGCTGTGATATAATGCACTGTACCGCAAGTTCGGTGGTTCAAACTCACCAGCTGCTCCTTGGAAACCCTATACAGGGTCACTGTGAATTGGACCCTTAACAACAACAACGACATCTTTCTGAAGTAGATCACCACATCTTTCTTAGTAGGCACCCTTGGATGAATTTGAACTGCCAACCTTTCGGTTAGTAGCAAAGTACTTAACCATACCCCAACAAGGACTCTTAACATCAGATACTGGTCTCAGATTTACTTCAGACATTGTATAAGGAAGCGTCAAAAAGTTTGTAGAAAAACTGAACTAAAAGATAATCAAATTTTTCCACAAACTTTTTAAAGCCCTCCCTTACATGCTCTAGGGCAGTAAATTTTAAAGTTTCCTTCAAAGCAAATCACTATTGATCTTGATACTCTGCGACTGAGTAGGATCCAACTCCAATCCTGAGCACTAAGTCACAATGTCAAAAGTACCAAAACAGATAGGACTAAATAGAAACAAGAAAGTGATTCTTGATCGTATAGTAAACTGTGACATCATTTGTGAAAGGTCACTATGGATGGACTCTAAAGAACAAGCACATGTCATAGGCCAATCTTAGGATATAGGAAGCAGCTGAACCGGGGTGGTTGTCTCCAAGAATGGACTACATTCCAGGGACTGCCAGAAGAAATACAGATTGAAGTGAGGATGGCGAGATTTTGCCTCTCATAATTTGGATATGATATCAGGAGGAGCCATTCACTGAAGAAAGGCATGGTGCTTGGTAAAGTAGAGGGTAAGTGGAAAAGAAGGCCCTCTGGACAGGGACTGACACAGCAGTGAGTTGAAGCATAGCAATGATTGTGAGGACAGACGTTTCTAGAAAAGATCTGCAACTAACTCTCAGGATATATTGCGAGTCTCTGGGTGTAGAGTGGATTGCTGTTTCAACAGTGTTAGGAGTTTTCTATTTTTTTATTCCTCAAGAAATAATAATGCACTATGCTTACTGAAGCAAATGAGAGTTCAGTCATTCAAAGTTGGTTCCGTTTTCTTTTTAGTCTGGTTGACCTTAAGCTATCTCCAGTGTCCACGTATCTGATGGCCTAGTAACTAATCACATTAGCAAGCAGCATGGCTGAGACTAACAGGATTTGGTTGGGATCTGGGCAGTGAGGAGGAGAACATCGGAGCTCTTGCTGAAGTTTCCCCAGTACTTACTTGTCTTAAGACGACCGAAGCCCAGGAATCCACAAACTGGACCATGGAGAAATCCAGGATGATGGTGTGGGTGGTGGGTAGAAGAGAAACTTCTGAGTAAGGGAGGAATGATATACTCCTCCCCTGACTATCAACAGGGTTGGGCACTGGTAGCGAGCTGTTTCTTGAGGGGTTGTTAGGAACTTTCCCCACCTCCTCCAAGTTTTGCCCTTGATTTTTCTGAGATGTGGAAGATACTGCGTATGGCACTTGCTCATCAGACGTAGTGGACTGGTTCGTACTCTCGCTCTCGAAGCGTGAGCATTGGATGAGGTTAACGGAGGAAGAAGATTGTCTTGATTTAGGTTCAAATCGTTCTGTGTAGACAATCTGGGACAACAGAATTAGAGGGTGGCTGTGAGAGGGCTCAGACAACAGTTGGAAGGAAGTACTTGCAACTCTGCAGTTTCCAGATGCCCACTCCTTGAAACTTCTCCCCAGATGAGGTATTATTCATTTTTGCTTCAAGCACATAACTAAAACCACATTCGTCAGCTCTTAGGGCAGCCCCCCCTTCCCAGCTTCACTATGTTTATGAATATTATCATTATTCTATGGACTCAAACTTAAAACTATCACTGATTTACTCCTTTCTCTCATCCCTAGGTTCCAAGTAGGCTCCAGGGTCGACTAATCCTTTGTTTGAAGTATTTTGTCCATCAGCCCCTTTTCTCAACACCTCCTTTCATCAGTGTAACCATTTTCTGTCAGAACTCCTGACGAAGACCAAAATGACCAGGACAGGGCGGTCTTTACCTCTGACTCCTTTCATCTCCCTAACAGTACTCAAGTGCCAGCTGTACTTGCGGCCCAGTATCAAGCACTAGGGATACAATGGTACGCACGCAGGGTTTGATGGGGGGGGCTCTGCTTTCACAGGAGGGCTCAGTCTCTACCTGGGGACCATGGACATGACAACATTGATGGGTAGGACCTGTAAGGCAAATCTAACAAGGACAAGAATCCATTTGTTAGAGTAGTATTATTTTGGGTGATTTTTTTTTTTTAATTCTAATAATGTTGCTTTTGAAATATATTTTGAAAATAGTTAAAAAAAAATCAGAGATAAAAGTCATACAATATTATAGAGTATAAAAGTCATACAGTATCCATATAGCTATGGATAGGAAATAGTATGGTTCAAAGGAAAGAGTTGACCCGAGGTTACAGGACAGACGAGACTTAGCCACAAGGCAGAGAGAGAGCTGAGAGTGTCTGTTCCTTGCCTTTTATCTTGTCTTTCAAAAACTTTCACAATCTACTCACATTGTGCTTTCTGGACACATCATTTCCCAGACCACGCTTCTTACTCTGAGGACCCTATACTTATCCCTACCTCAATATCTTTGCCCAAGTAGATCTGTGGACCTGGAGTCTCTCCTATTGGAGTCTCTCCTATCTAACTCCAAATTTCTCTCTCCTGACTAACACATAGCCATTTCTCCCATGAAATTTCTCTTTGCAGCTCACATTGATCTCCCTTTAACTGAAACCTTATAGCTGTTAAAATCCAGCACACAAGTTAGAACATAACTGTATACTACATTGTATGACTCACTATCCTAACCTATCAATTTTAACAGACAACACCTATCACTTATACTATCAAGAAAGAAAACACCATGAAAAAATTGATATGCCATCATTGTATGACCTGTTAAGAAACTTTAGGATTGATAAAATATAATTATAGCTTTACATGTCGTATTACTATAGCGTCATCTCTATAATTTATGAATTGCTTTAAACTAATCCTGTGATTTTGAGGGACTGGTGGTGGGTAGAGGTATAGCAGAAATGAGGTTGGTTGAGTGGATACATCTTAATGCTGGTGGTGGGTACACAAAGTCTCATTATAGTCTTGACTCTATGCTTGTATATGCTCAACATTTTCTTTGGAAAAAAAAAAAAAAACTCCCTGAAGACAGAGACCCTTAAAATTATTTTTTCTTTTTCACAGAATCATAGTTCTAAGCACACAGTATGGGCTTAATAAATTCTGGATGATCCTATCCCACTATAAAGTGTATCTGCCGATGTGCTGTAACTGTTCCTACAGCATGCAGTATAATAGGATTAATTGTTGTTGTTAAGAGCCATTGAGTTGACTCAAAGCGACCTTGTATCCAAGGAGCAGCTGGTGGGTTTGAACTACTGACTTTGTGGTTCGCAGTCCAGTGCTGATCCTACACGGCCACACTAGAATTCCAAGGATTACTAAACAGTGTTCATTTTGTCCTCTTGGCAGAGTTGTATTTGTTAAGTGCCACTGAGTCAGTTCCAACTCATAGCGAACCTGTATAGCGTTTCCAAGACTAAATCTTTGTGGTTGCAGGAAACCTCATCCTTTTCCCACAGTGACTGGTGGGTTTGAACCACCGACCTTGTGGTTCTCAATCCAGTGTTTGTCCTACAGAGCCACCGTGTTCCCTCTTGGCAGAGTAGTTGCAGGAAATGTCTTTTGAATTTCATTAACCTGGTTATAAGGAGCTCTGGTAGTGTAGTGGTTA